TTAAATTCATCATTTGGCTACGTTGTTATTAAAAGATATGAAATAAACACAACTATTCTTAAAAAGGGAGGCTTCCCCACCCCGAAAAAGTGGCAATATTCTAACATGACAAAAAATTATGCACCTTTTGACAAATGGCTGAAGAACATTTTCCAAAACAAATGAGTTTTACTCACAGCCATGTAGAACTAAAGTGACAGCCCACTAAGACTCTAGTTATGGTCACTGCATTATTTTTAAATGTTTTGTAGCAGTAAGAAGAAACGTGTTCAATGTCAGTGACTGGTTGGTATCATTATTCTGACACTGGTATGTGATTATGAAATAAAATCACATTTATCATAAAATATGAAAAATCCTTACCTGAGCAATTTCTTCAGGGGTTGTCACAGGTTTAGACTGCTTCTTAAGTTCAGCAATTACAGCATCAACAGCTAACATCACACCTGATTCAAGAATAAACGCCATTACAATGCTTATTCTCTCATGGTTCCTTGTCAAGTAAAAATTTCAATTCATGTTAAATGTTTTTACGTGTTAATAAACCTATACTATGATTCTGTGCCAGCACTTTTCTTAATCTCATGGAGTTGAATGGCATGCACTGGAACAGGAACTTTAATAAATGAAGACTCACAGAACAACATTATTTTGAAAACTGGACTAAGGAAAAAAAAAGTGTTTAATTTCAAGAATCTCACCATTCAACTCATTCTGTATAAGCTATTCCCAATCCAATCATGTTGCATGTTTCCAACAGGGTCACCCTATACTTCTCTCAATTGAATGACACGGTTATGCCCCTACAGGTTTTAATTATCTGAAATTTCCTCATTTAATATGTAATTATAAGCGAAATATTTGTTCTAACAGTCAACAGCATCACAACATGGATTTAGGATCACCCAATTTTGTTCAATCGGGATAGTGCTGGCTCTTCCCTTATTTTGAGAAATGTAACTTCAAGAAAAAAATCCAAAGAAAGGCATGTAGTAACAATCATTTCTTTGGAGAAGTAATCTTAATAACCTCAGTTAATACTTGTCCATGATTTACACTCAGACTGCTTTTTTTTTTCCGAGAGAAGGAAAAGAGAGCGGGGGGGAGGGGCAGGCGGGGAGGGAGAGAGAATCTCAAGCAGGCTCCATGCCCAGCACAGAGCCTGATGTGGGGCTTGCCCTGAGATCATGACTTGAGCGGAAATCGAGTCGGACGCTTAACCGACTGAGCCACCCAGGTGCCCCTCAAACTGCTTTTTTAATGTAACACTCATTTGGACCTCAAACACGGAAATAGGTGGAATGCTGATACATCAGTGTGCTGGGATGCCAATTCTGACGAAACTTGTTAATAGCATCCCCCTTTACTCTCAAGTCTCCTAATATGGACAATAATATACCCTAGAGATAAGTAGCAATTACATTTTCAAGATAGAAAAACCAAGTTTGAGTACATAGCTAAAAAAAAAATGGCAGTGACAGGACTTAAGCCTCTATCACTATGGAGCTCATGCTGAGGAGCAGATCTTTAAATTGTGGCCTAGATCCCCAAAGCAAGCAATAATTAACAAAATGAAGACCACTAACGTACTATGTGCTCTTAAGAGATAAGAACAAACAAAACCCCCTGCTTTTCTATATATTAAAAAAATTTGATATCCTGAGTGACTTAGTTTAGCCCTTTGTAATATATCAAAACTGTATAATCTCTCCCTGTGCTAATCCCCAAAAGTTTACTATTTTCAAGGTACACAGTACATGCTGTATCTTCCAATAAACTTCCCTTATGTGCTGGGGTGGGGGTTGGGGGCTCAAAACACGGAGGCGGGAAGGACAAGGAATGTCTCAGTTATATTTCCCTCCTTAACACCTAGCATAGTACACACTACATAAGCCAGGCATCCAATCACTATCTGCTGAAGAAAAAGTCAGGTTTTTTTGAGAGGAGAAACAATCAACTTTTTAAGACACTTCAAGACCCTGTGGTGACAATGAAGAGACTTTCCTACCTCTTCTGATTTCCACAGGATTAGCACCTTTGCTAATCTTCTCGAAGCCCTCCTTGGCAATAGAGCGTGCCAAGACAGTAGCAGTCGTGGTGCCATCCCCAGCCTCTTCATTTGTGTTATTGGCGACATCTTGAACAAGTTTAGCGCCAATATTTTTATATTTATCTTTTAAGTCAATTGACTTTGCTACAGTCACACCATCTTTTGTTACTTTGGGACTTCCCCAACTCTGTTCAATAATCACTGTTCTTCCCTATAATTACAGAAAAAAAAAGTGACAGAACATAAGTGCTATTTAGCTTAAAACACAATGAGCAGTTTTGAATAATAGGATAATTATTTGAAAGTCCCAACACAAATTGTCACTTTTATTAGATCTGCAGCATGAATCTCAAAGGCAAATTCATCAGTGTTCTTAAGCTTATAGACAAAATGACCTCTTCTACCAAGTGCTTAAATTTGCAACAGATTTTATGATAGATAAAAATCCTAGAGACTACAAGATGTTCTCTCATTAAAAAAAACAAAACAAAAAACCCCCCAAAACCCCCCAGAAAATAAACCAAACAATCTCGTAGATCGTAATAAAATTCCAGAATATTCTTCACATAGTTTACAGTTTTGTCTGGTGCCTGCTATCTTTGAAAGTAATGTGAAAACTTACTTTTAAACTGGCTTTAAAATTTAGCTACTAAAATACTAACAGCAAGGCAAGTACAAGTCACTCTTCCAGGGAGGGCTGCTTCAGTGTTAAATCTCAATCATGGTGCAAATAGTATTGGCAGCTTCTGGATTTGAACCAAAGCTGCTACTTGTGAGGCATGCCATATTTTATACAGTCTATATCAATACTTTGATACTGGAACTGTCAGCCTGAAATCAAGCATCACTCCACTTGTGCATCACCTTCAAAAGCCTTCTCAAATTATTTGTTACCCCTCACTCACCACCTCTTCACGTTGAATGAAACAAAATTTTACATGTGCTTTGGAACAGAATGGACAACATAAAAACATTAAGTAAAACTAGCACCTACAAGCACATACTTTAAGTACTACATACTAAATTACATACTTCCATCAATGATACGAACTACTGGGAAAAAATCTAAAACTTAGGCAAACAAGAGTAAGTCTACCTTCCATTAATTCTACCTTCCCTTTGCGAATCCACTTTGATCTGTGAGTTACCACTCCGTTACATCATACATTACAGGAAAGAAAGTTCCGCAAATTTTAAAGAAACAGTTTAAATTTCAAGACCATATGTATCTAAGTAAAAGAAAAAAAAGATTAAGCAGTAATTGGGAACTCTTATGGGTATATTGGGGTTTCTCAACAATGGATACTTAAGTACTTACTGTTCAGTAGCTCGGTGTGACTATCTGGTATCATTAAAATATTATTCCTTAACTCACAGTATTATAAATTACAACAAAATAAAATCACTGATACCTTTGGCCCCATAGTAACGGCTACAGCATCGGCTAAAAGGTCTACACCTTGAAGCATTAAGGCTCGGGCATCCGCACCAAATTTTACGTCTTTGGCATAGGCCCGAGTGAGATGAGGAGCCAGTGCTCTGGACACTGGCCTAATTTGGCGAAGGACTGCGGGTAATCGAAGCATTTCTGTGGAGGGGGGGAAATCATATTAGCAAGTACATCAATACTAGCAGTACCCCTGTGTATTACAGCAAACATGACATCTATACACCACAATAGAATAAGAAATGTTAGATGTAAGTTGGATTGACCTCTGCCAGTCACTACACCCACGGAAACATATGTTCAGAACACCAGCTACCTGCGTTAAGTCCCCACGTGAGGCCATCCCCGCGCCTAACCTAGAGCACTAGCACAAAGCACACACCATCTCCTTCTCCAAGGCCACCTACCCCAGCCGCTAAAAATGAGTTAATCTTTCACCGCTAAAATATCCTTGAGAGCAAATCCATTCTAAATGTCCTCCTGAAAAACCAAGTCTGCAGGAAAGGAGTGGGCTATAAACTAGAGCGACCAAGGGAGAAAAAACATTCCTGACGGTGCAAAAATCCGCTTAGCAAGATGTGTCTTCATGTATCCACTCGGGGCTACTGTATCAGAGCAGCCCGCAAGGCCGCGAGGCTGCGGGCTCTGGCCCGGCCCCACGTGTCTTTCCATTAGGACGCCCTCAGCAAGGTCAAAGGTGGAGAGCGGTCCAGGGGGCCAAAGGCGGCTGCGACCACCCTGCCCGGCACTCTGCAGTCGACCAAGACAGGGTTGCAACGCAAAGCCCACGCGAATACACTCCCCCGATTCCACACTAACTCCCGGAGAAGCCCTCCCTCCTGCGCCCTGCCCAGGCGAACAATCCACGGCGCACGTGATGGGCACCGACATGGACCCGTGAGGCCTGGCCCGGTGGCCCAAGCCTGCGGCGCCGTAGAAAAGCCCTGGTTCTCGCCTGCCGGCCCAACCAGGCAACACCGCAGGGAGTGGGGAAAGGGCCGGCCTAGTGATCCCGGGCGCCTGGAGGTGGCGGCGCGGGGCGGCCGTGTACCTGCGGGGCAGCAGCAGAGCGTGCGGACCGTGAGGCAGGCCGTCGGAGGCGAGTGAGGGACAGAGTGCACGGCGCACACGGCAAAGAGCCCGTGTCCCCTCCCTCCGCCGCTTTCCCCCCGCCCCGCAGCACCGCGTGCGCGGGCGGCTCCCACCCCTTCCCGTCCGCCGGGCCCGGCAATCGGCACGCTCCATGCGCCAGCTCCGCCCCTCCCTACCCGAGCAGTGCCAGGCCAGCGGGCTCAGCCCTCTGCGGGCCGGCTTAGGCTAGTTCCCGGGCTGCACTCGGTTCCAGAACTTTCCGGGAAGCGCTGCGCTCTCTGTGGGTTAAGGTTCAAAGCGCGTCATTTCCGGGAGAGGAGCGAAGCTAGTACTTTCACCTCGGCGGGCGGCTTAGAAAAGCCTAGAAAGAATTCCTCTTTTCTTCCGCCTCCCCGTACTCGCGTCAGTGGCCGACGCACAGACCTCGGGACGAATCGCAGCGCGCGCTAGTGCGGCCACCCTCTTTTGCGGGGAGGAGCGGGGGGCAGGAGCGAGCGCGCCTGCGCGCTGGGCGGCCTTTTCCCACGTTCACGTGGCCGGAGGGTCGTAGTGCGGGTCTCCTTGCAGAGGCGGCAGCTCCAGAGCGGAGTACCAACTGCGGCGGTCGGCGTCATGGTGAGTCCCGCGTGGGCTGGAGGCCGGAGAGCCCGGCTCTGCTTGAAGCGCATGGGCAGCCGGACGCTTCTCTTTGGGCCTACCTGGAGGGTAGGGGTCATTGAGTGATCCGCGCCTGCAACAACCCTGGAGAGGCCGCGGCTCACCGACCCTTTTCTCCGCCAAGGGCTCTGCACGCGTGTGCCCCGCAGGCCTGTGGCCCTGGGGGCTGGAACCCCGACGCACGCGCTGCGGCGGACCCGAGTCTCCTGTGAGGCCTTTGTGGGTGGGTAATATCTTGAAAAGCTTGGCTCCAGGCGCAGGGGTTCACTGTTTTTGCTGAAATTTTTCAGAGAAATCTGAGGAAGGAAAATACTTGACCTTGAAATAAACTAAGGTTGCCTTTAAAGCTCGTCTGATTGCTGACCAGAGGCGCCAACAACGACCCCTAACACAATACGGAATGGGAAATTAAACTCAAAACGTAGAGCAAAACATTCAAGTGGTTTTCTTGAACGAATAATCTTTTGAGTTTTGGCGTTGAATTTGAAAGCCACACGTGCTTTTTGATGTGTAACGCTTTTAAGGTTATCACATAACTGTTTTTGTTTCAAATTTAACATTTCTCTTTTTACAGGCAGGGCAGGCGTTTAGAAAGTTTCTTCCCCTCTTTGACCGAGTTTTAGTTGAAAGGAGCGCGGCTGAAACTGTAACCAAAGGAGGTATTATGCTTCCAGAAAAATCTCAAGGAAAAGTGTTGCAAGCAACAGTAGTAGCTGTTGGATCGGGCTCTAAAGGAAAGGTAAATGGGGCTAAGGTGGAACTATTTTTATGTGAAGTGGAGGAGGAAAAAATCCTTGGTGATTATTAAAAGTGGTCTGTTAAATAGCTTTGTGTTATCTTCAGGATCATTCCATAATTCAGTCACGTCTAATCATCTTCTTCAACGAAAATGACTGTAGAATGAAGTTGCTTATTTTGTGTGATAGAGGGTTCCAGAGTATTAAAATCAGTAAACATTTGGTAGTCTAGTATGACCAGCGTTTTCTTCAAATTCTAATTTTTTGAAAAAACAAAAAATAATGCTTACGGATGATCCATGAGTGCTTTTACGAGTTGAGGGGAAATTTAAACTCTAGATTTAACCTCTAACACTGTAATTGCCCTAATCTTTTAACCATTTTTGGCCTTAGTTGGTATACTACTGAAAGGAATAGTTTGGACCTAGCCTTAGAGGCATTCTCCAATTGATTAGACCTCAGATTTGAAAGTCAGCCAGAATACATAATAAATGCCTTTGGAGTCAGATACATTAATTGCATTGTTCCAGTTGCCTCTAAGAAAGAAAGTTCTAGCAAGGAGCTATCCTGGAGTCAGAATAGGAAGGTTTTGGGGGAGGGGGCATTATGCTGCAGTTTCTCTCCTTAAACCTGCACTTTGATTGAAAGGAAATTGAATCATGGAAGAAGTATATGTTCCAAATTCTGTAAATACCTGTTGAATTTTTGTGCATTAGAAGTTGTTAAATTTGACTACTATAATCTGGTTTTTAGAACTGATTTATTTCACGTAGTCTGGAGGTTATGTTAATATTTAACAATGAAAAAGTTAGCTTAAGTTAGCTTCACCATTATAACTGAACTTTACTCTGAAATTGGGTTTTAGTTTAAGCCTCCATGTATGCATTGTTTCAAAGTAATTCTACAGTGATATTTTTGAGCGAAGAACTGTGATTATAGTGTAAATCATATCACTTGGTCACCAAATCCTTAAAACAGTTGATTTGAATGAGCATATTTAATTAATAGAATGTGTAAATATTTGGTGAACTAGGTATTTTGCTGATAAGTATCTTTATTTTTTTTTAAGGGTGGAGAGATTCAACCAGTTAGTGTGAAAGTTGGAGATAAAGTTCTTCTCCCAGAATATGGAGGCACCAAAGTAGTTCTAGATGACAAGGTGTGTAAACTTATTTCTTAAAAGTTAAAATATTTGTGGGGCACCTCGGTGGCCCAGTCAGATAAGCAGCTGCCTTCGGCTCAGATGGTGATCCCAGGGTACTGGGATCGAGTCCCACATTGGGCTCCCTGCTCAGTGGGGAGCCTGCTTCTCTGCCACTCCCCTGCTTGTGTTCTCTTTCTCTGTCAAATAAATAAAATCTTTATTTAAAAAGTTAAATATTTATTACTAGTTTTCTTAATTGATGGTTTCTCTCTTTGCAGGATTATTTCTTATTTAGAGATGGTGACATTCTCGGAAAGTATGTGGACTGACATCATTATTAAAATGGCATGAAGTGAAGCTGCCCATTCCAGTGAAGTTGTGAAATCTTTCATCGTGTAAATAATTTTCATGTCTCTTTTATAATAAACTAATGGTATCCAACCTAATGATATCCAGTGTCTCTAAAATTCAGTTTTAGTGTACTGATACAAATATTAGCAAATAAAAATGCATAAATGAGTGGTTAATCTTTATTTGGTAATTTAAGATGGTTTTAGGGTTTTCCAATGTTTTTTTTTTTTAAGTAACCTGCAGAGATTTCTGGGAAACGGGCTTTCCACTCTTCACATTGAATTTAGCTTTATTATATTGATGCTGATACAAAGCTATTGATTTACACTTACTTACATTTTTAAAAGTAGCAGTATTTTAACCTCATGTATAACAAGCTTACATTGAAGTATAGTCCTTCATTTATGGAATCTAGTGTTAAATATCTTGTTTTGTAAGTAGTTAGAAAAACTTAGTGAAGTTGCCCAGTTTTTAATACTTCTACATAATTTACTTTGAAAAAAATCCATGGAAGGTTTAATAGCTACTACTGGTTGAATGCCTTTTATGTGCTGTGCTGGTGATTACAGCTAACACCTCAGGAGCATTTTCTATTCACTGGCTGCTGTTGTGGGTTCTTGGTGCATATCACTTGCCTAATCTTTCAACAACCCTCTAGGGTACAGTCATTCTCATCTTGCAGATGAGGAAGGTAAGGCACACACACACACACCACACACACATTGAGTAATAACCAAGCACAGTAGGAAGTGGCAAAGGCAGACTTAGCAGTCCACCTCCAGATGCTACTGTCTGAAACTTCGTCTGTGGCTACTTTGTCAGATAATTCTAAGCACTCGATGCACATTATTTCAATCCTTGTTGATAACCACTGCGATCAGGGATGGGTAGTACCTGAGTGGTAATTACTGGTATCTAGTTCATAATTTGTTGAATTTAACAAATAGGAAATGGAGTTAGAGCTGGACAAATAGCTTGATTTAGCTATAGCAGCTAGAGAGAGAAGGTTTGAATCCAAACAGTCCTACACCAGACTTGATTACCAACCCCTAAACTGCCTCTCAGACCAGCTATTCTTGGTCAGATTTTCTAGTTTTGGTTACCTATAAACCAGTCTGATCATGTCTTTTAGAGTGTGCCCTATATTTGTCGTATGGAATTGAAATCTAAATGAAGTAAATGGCGGGCACCTGAGTGGCTCAGTTAAGCGTCTGCCTTTGGCTCAGGTCATGATCCCAGGATCCCAGGGTTGAGCCCCACGTCAGGCTCCCTGCTCAGTAAGGAGCCCGCTTCTCTCTCTGCTGCTCCCCTTGCTGTGCTCTCTCAAAATCTTAAAAAATTGTAAATGGCATGGAGTAAGTAAGTCTCAACTTTCGGTCACGTCCTTATCAGTAAAGTATGTGTGTACGTTAATGCTTTGGTGCCTTTTGGTATACTAAGGCTTAATCTTTGTTATCCTCAATTATGAGAATTATTACAAGTTTAATTTACAGCACCCTAGTGGGTCATCAGTTTCCTATTGTCCCTGAAGGACAGCTAGATAATCTGTTTTGCTCTTTATAACCTTGTCAACCATGGATTTCCTTGTTTTACCAATGAGAAAACTGACTCAGTAGAGATGAGGAAACTTCTTCAAGGCTCCATGGCTGGTAAATTGTAGAGTTGGGCAACCGGTGCAGAGGCCATGTTCCCCAATTCTGTTTTTCAAACATCCAAGCAAATGAGTTTGAGATAAGGCAATAGTTTCCAAACCTTGGATCATCCAAGTATGTTTAAAATTTCAGGACTCCATTTATAATCTCCTAAATTAGAAGGATGGGGGAGTTCTTGTTTGTTTTGGTACCATAGAAGTAGTCCCATGATGCTTGTCTAGCAGAATTTCTAAAATAATTTTAGATTGTGAGATTACATGGGAATTAATAGGGAAAAGAATTTTGGCATGAGAAATTTAGGCCAAAAAAAGTGCTGAGGGTGTGGAACCACGTTTCACAACATTATGCTGTCATTTATCTTTTGGTCAACAAAAAAGGTAAAATAGAATTACAACTGGAATTTTTGTGCTTATACTACCATTTTTGAGCATTTGCCATGCACTGTTCTAGGCATTTAATACATAATCTTGCTTAATTACATGTAATTAAGCAACCCTGTGAGGTGGCTATTCCTTGCCTCATAGGTAAAGAATAACTTGCTCAAGGTGATACCCCTTTTAAGTCATAGCTTGGGATTGAAATCAGGTTTGTCTGACTCCAAAGTATGCTTCAAGGGGTGCATGGGTGGCTCAGTCGGTTAGGGTCCAACTCCTGATTTGGGCTCGGGTCATGATCTCAGGGTCATGAGTTTGGTTGGGCTCCACATGTGGCATGGAGTCAGATTCTCACTCTACCCACCCCCCCACGCATTCGATCTGTTTCTCAACGAATAACATCTTTTAAAAAAGTGTGCTTTAAACTACTCTACACAAAAAATTGGGGAAATTGAGAATAAAATTACTCGGAAGCTATTGTGTTGCATGGGTATTAGTTAACATGGTTTTCCCTCCTATTATTCCAGAAAGTGTATGCTTTACAAAAACTTTTATCTAAAAAGTTGATTATAAGATTTCATTTTTATTTTATTATAAGAACACAACATGAGGGCGCCTGGGTGGCTCAGTTGGTTAAGCAACTGCCTTCGGCTCAGGTCATGATCCTGGAGTCCCAGGATCGAGTCCCACATCTGGCTCCCTGCTCAGCAGGGAGTCTGCTTCTCCCTCTGACCCTCTTCCCTCTCGTGCTCTCTCTCATTCTCTCTCTCAAATAAATAAAATAAAAATCTTAAAAAAAAAAAAACACAACATGAGATTTATCCTCTTAACAGATTTTTAAGTGTACAATACAGTATTGTTAATTATAGGCACAGTGTTGTAACAGCACATCTTTAGAACTTTTTCATCTTGCTTATCTGGAAGATTTTGTCTTGATTAGCAGCTCACCATTCCCCCCTGCCCCCCAGTCCCTGGCACCTACATTCTACTCTGCTTCTATGAGTGACTATTTTAGATAAGTGGAATATTACAGTATTTATCCTGTGTTTGACTATTATAATGTCCTCAAAGTTTATTCATGTCACATATTGCAGTATTTCCTTGTTTAAAGCTGAATGTATATATACCATGTTTCCTTTATCCATTCTTCTGATAGATGGACATTTAGGTTGTTTCTATATCTTTAGCTCTTGTGAATAGTGCTGCAATTAACATGGAAGTGCTAATAACTTTTAGAGATTCCTGATTTCAGTTCTTTTGGATAAATATGCAGAAGTGGGATTGCTAGATAGAACTATGGTAGTTCTGGGGTGCCTGGGTGGCTCGGTTGATTAAGTGTTTGCGTTCGGCTCAGGTTGTGATCCTGGGGTCCTGGGATCCAGCCCCCCACTAAGCTCCCTGCTTAGCAGGGAGTCTGCCCCTCCCTCTCCCCCCCCCCGCTCATGTCCCATCTATCTCTCTTTCATAATAAAATCTTAAAACTATGGTAGTTCTATTTTTAATTTTTTTTTAAGATTTTATTTTTTTTAAGAAATCTTTACACCCATAAGAGGGCTCTAACAACCCCAAGAACAAGAGTTGCATGCTCCACCAACTGAGCTGGCCAAGTGCCCCTCTATTTTTAATTTTTTGAGGAACCTATGTACTGTTTTCCATAGTGGCTGCACCCTTTTGCAATACCATCAACGAACACGGATCATAAGGTTTTATATATTAGAGGTACTAACTTGTCATATTTGTCCTAATTTGATGTGCAGTTTTTGTTTCTAGCTAGTCAAATCTCACTTCTAGTAGTTTTTAAAATACTGAACATTTAATTAATCATAATTTATTTACTATATGGTCTATGTGTCTTTTTTTTAACCAATGATTAGCTTGTGTCAACTTTATCCATTTTACCCACCACCACTAGCCCACCTTGAAATTTGAGGTATCACTTTTATTGTACATTAAATTTTTAAATACATCTACTTGTGGGTTTTATAGACTTGTTCCATTGATTTCTCTATTCCACCACATTGTATTCAATATAAATATAAACTTTTATATTTAAGTTTGATACCTGATAAGGCAAGTCTTCACCTGCACTTACCTGGTTATGAACATTTTTAACCTTCTTGGTAAGGACTACCAGATTGCTCTCCAGAGTGATACCAAGTCATGCCTCTTCCAGCAAGTTGTTGTTTCACTGCACCCACACCAAAATGGAGTTTTGAGCTTTTGATTTATTTATATGAAGAGTATTTACACGGTTTCCTTTACTGTTAAGCAACTTTGTAGAGAAAGCCCAAACAAATCTAAGCTATGATCCTGTGTTGCTTACATTATAGTTATATGACATGGACAAATCACCTAACCCCTCTTAGTTTAAGAATTAACTGTAAAAGGAGGGGACTCGATATCCCTTAACATTTTGAGTCAAGCCTGTTATTTTTTTTTCCTTAAACTTTGATTTTACTTAAAAATGGGTAGGGTGCCTGGGTGGCTGTCGTTAAGCTTCTGCCTTCGGCTGAGGTCATGATCCCGGGGTCCTGGGATCGAGCCCCGCATCAGGCTCCCTGCTCAGCGGGAAGCCTGCTTCTCCCTCTCCCACTCCCCTGCTTGTGTTCCTTCTCTCGCTATCTCTCTCTGTCAACTAAATAAATAATCTTAAAAAAATAAAATGAAAATGGGTAACATTCACATAGTTAAAAATTCAAAAGGATATACACTGAGGCACCTGGGGGGCTCAGTTGGTTAAGCGTCTGTCTTCTAGTTTGGTCACGATCCCAGGGTCCTGTGATCGAGCGCAGCATCGGGCTCTCTGCTCAGCAGTGAGTCGGCTTCTCCTCGCTCTGTGATCTCTCTCACTCTCAAATAAATAAAATCTTAAAAAAAGGGGGGATATACACTAAAGAGATATACACTGAAAAGTATCCTTCCCTTCCCTATCCCCCAGCCACAGAATTCCATCCTTAGAGGGAACTAGTGTTACATTTTATATTTTCAGGGGTACCTTACCTATACATTTTCTGTGTGTGTGTGTGCGCACGTGTGTGCTAGGACATGTATACATACGTGTCTTATGTATGTGAAATATACTCATTTTTCTTTTTCAAAAAATAACATTCCATACACACCATTTGGCACCTTTTTTAATAT